TCACGGCCTTGACGCATTAACATAGCAAAATTTTTCGAATTGTTCAGAGCTCTCCCAAGCTACTGGCAGTGAGGATTTTTTGTAGTACAAAATGCCGCTAAGTTATCGTTAGACAGTCTAGTTCAATCGAACGCTCATATAGCCTGTGGTAACTTACACAGTTTTACTAGGGGCGTGTACTAAGGAGACAAATGATTGAAAGCGTACTATATAGTAGCAGAAACACTTACTACTTAATTAACTATAAGCAGTGCTCAAGTACTACTTCTTGGGTGTTCTACTACCCGCTAAAAGCTGCTTAAAATTTGATGAGCAGCTAGGTCAGTTGGTAACTGTTGTGTGTTCAACGAAATAATTTCAAGGTCACAAAATGCTTATACAGTTGATTTAGACAACCCCGTCGCGACGGCTGATAGCTCTACCACATATATGCCTTACAAAAAGTACTGTTTATGTATATTTTTATTTTTTCTGTTTATTTCCATGTCACGTATGGCTATTACTGTAGCTGGCATTTATGCTATCGTCGATGCGGCTGCCACTTCTACGATCTAAGCCAGGACTGGTCGAATTAAAAAACACATTGCGTTACGGTCGATCTTAAGTCATTCTGTGACTGACATCGCGCCCAATGGTCGTAGTAGCTCTATTTGCGGACGCTCAGTGTTACAGGGGGCGCTAACTATTTTCTACAAGCCCATTTTTGTATTCGGGCTCGCGTTGGGCGTCACTGAATCGTATGGGACCGATGTGCCTCTTGTGTAGGTGTGCGCGATTTAATGACCTCACTTTGCCTTAAGCTCCTCTCATATCTATACAAGGAATATCCAGGCTACATCCTGATGCGTACGCTGAGACACATTCACACTAACGGTAGATCGTTGCTTAGACGTTGTACGTCTGAAAATATATCTCGCAACCGACAGCCAACGATGGCTGTGGTAAATAGGCATCCCGCAATTCGAGCTAGCAAGTTGACTGTACCGTCGCTGATTTTCGTCAAAAATCGGAGAATGGCGTCCACTTGATCTGCTCGTTCGCAATTCGATGATGGAAGCCTCATTGTGGCTGTTCCGGCGACGGCAGTAACGGTTAAGTAAACACAGGAACAATTAAGGACAAAGCACAATGGATTGAGTGTGGATGTTTGTTCCTAATTATGTTGCTCAAAATGGCGTTCCAAATTGTCCAGGTCAAATCCCTTTTTTCTTCGGGTAAATCGAAATAGATTCGAATATATTCTACGGCCCGTATTGTATACGCAACTAACTCTACCACAAATAAAGCTGACGATCCATCGTCTATATTAGCTGCAAGCTAATGATAACATTGCAGTATTCGACATAACGGATTCCAGCGAGATAGTTGGGGCAGATCGTACTGCGTAAAAAACGGCTGCTTTCACAGAAACATAGATATGCACAGTGTGCACGTACATTATACTCATACTATTAGAGCCGTCTATGGTTGGCGACGTTTTTAACGAAAATTGGTACGCTCGATACCGAGAACGGCCTAACAAATCGACGCCGTGTCGAAAACTTGCTAAGCTTTAGATGCATGTTACACATGCTTCTATTAGCTGAAAAGCCAGATAAACGGTCTTGGCCATGACAAATGCTAGCCCACGATGTGGCATTAGTTCGATGAACTGTTATGAAAACATATTCTGTACGACGCCTCCATCGGCCTTCGGCAAGTGCCACTCTCCCAGCTTCACGATAAAACGAATTATTTTTCGACGAAGAAGCGAAAGACGTAATGTATTACTGTTAACTGAAGAAGTCAGTCTCGAGTTACTTCAGTCAATGCTTTGTGCCATATTTCGGTGCGCCATCTTTAACCGCGCCGCACGGCAGCGTTCACGATGCCAAAAGAGCCATGTATTCTACATTCCTTTGGCTCGTGCTGCCCAACGGAAGGCGCTGTATAAGCAAACCGTCAGGTTACCGACAATCTTGTCAAGAGCTAATTCTGGAAAACGTGCCAGACCGTATTCCCTGTTATTTTTTCCTCACTTGTTTCTAAAATGCCCCTGACTTGTTCATGGCGTCAGGCAAGGAACGTGAACACACGCTAATTTGTCACGTTCTTCAGACATCATCTCGATTACAGACAAAGCCTCAGCTGCGCGTCAGTCAATTTCTGTGTGGCCGTTTAAACCTCTCCATCTTGCCCAATAGACATTAGTGCCGAGCGGCCATTTGCAGCGTAACGATGTGTGTCGCATTTGATGCCCAACATATAACTATTTGCATTGACAACCTGCACCATTTCATGTCTTCTATATAATTCTTTTTTTATCCTCCCCTTCTCTGTATAATATTGCGAAACGTCTGTCAAAGGAGTAAAGCCTCCGGCCCTTCACGTAATTACTAAATGATGCTACTTGAGTCATCATCGCGTCTTTCATTAGCTCGACGCTACGGCTGCCCCGGGGCAAATACCTCGGTTGGGCTTCGTTCGTTCGTTCGTTGAGATTTCTAATAACGAACTGCCGCTAGCCAAGGCAGAAGACACACCCATGATTACAGAAATACAGAAAACTCAAGAGTAAAGTTACAGGTGTTTTTGAATCGTACCCCTTTCCTCGCCCTCTTCGCCCCGTTCCCCTCCACTGCCTTTTGTAGGTTTTCTCTTGAGCATTATTTCGGCTTTTTTGAGCGAAGGCTCACTCGAGCGTACATTTCTATTAATCTCGCCTCTGTGGCAGACTATTGATGACACTTACTCGGCAGCTGTCGATCTTACGATTCTCACTGTCTACCGACGGAGTTTACGCCGGCAAATGAATTAAAAAATAAGAAATCGCAAAGGCCGCAGCAGCGGTGGACGCGCCGGAAAACGAAATTGTCAGTACCAATCTGCCGCACGACTTCACCTTTTTGACGCTCGATGTTATGAACTATTCGGAAAATCAAAAAGACACAAGGACAGGGTGAGGGCTAAACACACGGAAGATAGAAGTGAAGTCGTTCAGCTTCCTATAGTACCATTACTTCAGTATGGAGACTCCTTTTGTCCCTCGCGTTGCCCGCTACCGCCGCCGCCGCCGCATGCTCCGGTCACCGGAACGACCGCAAAAGTCGACGAACCTGCTGGAAGCGCTGCTGTTTCCGCTAAGATTCGTTGCGACTTTGTGTGAGCAGCGTTCCACATCTTGAAAAGAAAAAGCAGCCCTCCCAGGTGATCGCTTATCCTTCTGTATATGAAATATCAGTAGCAGCTTATGTCTAGTGATTTTCTGTCTCCGACCCAGCTTTCGCCGTTGGTCTTGCGTCGGATAGGGCTTAATCCTCTTGCTGACTATGTGATGCATTTGAAAAGAAACGGTACAAGGCGAAGTGGTATGAAATGGAGAGGAATGGGAAATGCAGACCGATTTGCACCTGGTTCGTTCGTTTGGCTTTGGAAAAAACATTTATTTGCAATTAGCATCGCGGATGTCAAGCAGAGGGCAGCGGACGTGTGGATGCCTGCAGATGCTTAATCGTTAAGGGTGGGTAGGACGGAACGAACCATACGGGAGTGATACAGGGCTGATTCGCTGGTTGAATATAAGCATATCAAACCGATAGCTAAATGGGTTTGAGTATGATATCTCTACTATTGTACGTGTCCGTTACATAGGCTTCTTGCCTGTTAAGCTTCTATATGATCTATGTTGTTTACTTGAGCAGATTAAGCAAGATACGCAGTGATTCGAAGTTATTAAGTTGCTTCTTTTGTCAGTTGGCCCCCTGAATGGAACAAACGCCGTATGATATTTACACCGTATTGACTTCAACGTCTATTTGTCATATTCGTATATAACACTCGAGCCTTTTGGCAGGTAAGGCCATAGTAGCATATTATGTGAAAACAACAGTGAAAACAACAGCGGTCTCTCCCAACCAGTAGAAGTTACCCACAAACCGCTAGCGGTTTACCACCCTTCAAATATGGCGATGCCGGATCTCGCGAATGAAGTATCCACATGTGGGCGCGTATAGGGGCTGCTGCCTAACTCAAGTACTACTTGCTAGTTTTGTACTGTTTTTACTTACTGATTATTTACACTGATTTAGTTTAGTACATAACTTTCATTCACAAGTAAACAATGTGTGTATACCTGTAGTATACGGATAAATCGAATGTATGTTTCGTTGTAGATAAGGTGCGGTAATTATCACTATTTGCCTCATACATGCATTGAGTGACTCGTTATCATTGTTCATATTTGATCCATTCGTATCTGTAGTCGTGAGGAGCGCGGCGAGAATCACTAACAGTTAAGGGCGTTCTCCAGTGACTCCTTCGGGGAATGATAATTGTGACGTCTTTGCGCGAGTAAGATGTCACACACAAACAAATAATCGCGATTCCCTTTAATCGCATTAGCTAACGTAAATACGCATTCACTTATTGGAGGTAATGACCCTCCCCCCTTCGCCCCTGCTCCCGCCATTTCTTTTTCGCTTCAACCTCTCTTGAAGCGTTAACGAGCGAACCCAAACACAGTTTTTGAGCCTAGTGTCTAACATCTATTCAGTAGTATCTTTGCTGCTTCAAATGTGCATGATATGGAAAATATGCCGACCATGTAGGCTGTGATATCGGCGGCAAAGTATCACGAGGTAAATATCACCCCATATTTACCCACAACAGAATCTAGTTTCTGCCACGCTCCATCTATGGCCTGGCGCGTACGCCGGCTGAGGTTCCAGCGGCTCTGGCAGCTTCGAAGGGCGCGACCATACATCGCATCTTGGCATTCTTGCCGCTCCCGTTTGTAACATCCGTATCATTAGCATTATCAACATCGCTGTCGCCCATTACGGTGCTAGAGCTAACTGTAACAGTAGCCAATTACGTGTAATGCAACGCCAGTTACGCGGTGCACCGGGTTGCTCATGGCCGCTATGGCTCCTTCAATAAGACTCTTTATAATAGCAGCTTTTCATCTGCGTCGTTGTTATTGTCATGAACCAAAGCAAAGCTAATGCCAACTACGACCGACGGTGAACTTCTAAAGCATGGCCGTTCTGTCCGCAGGCGGCAAAAATAAAGTATGGCCACGTAAAGTCTTCAAATGAGCCGCGTAACAGTGTCTAGCAATAGCGGTAGTCGACCTGACTCGATCCGGCGCCCCTTGAGCGGGATCATGGCATAGCGTATATGAAGCATGCAATGTCGCGTGCAATACAACTAAAACAACAGAATTTGTGGTGCTTTTTTGTTGAACATCGACCGCTGCCTCTGCCATTGCTGCGAATCGTATATTTGTTTGTTTGTTTAACTTTTTCAGCAGTTGTAGCCGAGCTTTTCCTCTCAGTTCTGTTACAGTCCGCTATTTTTTGTGTACGTTTAGCTTATTTTGCGACTGTTAGCCGTTAAACGCCTGCAGATTAGCGAACAGTACTTCTGCATGACTGTATGGCAAACGATTTGTGCAAATAATGCACGTTTGCGTGCATGTGTATGTTCATATATGTATGCTGTTTATACTATAATAGTACTATGCACTAATCGTATTCATATATCTTCTGAAAGCATGAGGGTATATAGGCAGTTGTAAAAAGGCAAAGCCACTTGGCGATACCTACATAGGAAGTGCAACGAGGGGTCGGCGGCGTTTAGCCGGCAATATGAAAAAATAACAAGAAAAAATTGTTCTATTTCTCCAAAGATTCGGTCTCGTTATCGACAAATGAAACATACGGAGCAGCGTTTACCGCTGTTACTATCATTGCCAAAAACAATGCGCTAAAAAGAGCTAAAATCACACCGTATAAATACAGAAAATTAACTTTTTGGGTAAAACCTGCGCGAGCTGGCGCAGAATCGAGGCCCCTTGGCGCTAACTACCGGGAAGCTACTGAAACCAAATACATTACACAGATGAATAAAAGAAATTGACAACTAAGATAAAAAAGATCATACAATATGATAGAGCTAAAGGTCGAGCGGTCTTGGATGGCGGTGATGGTTAAAACCGAAGTGGGTTTTTGTTTGCCTTCGTTTGGCGGGCGGGCGGGCGGACTGGCCCATTCGATGGTCGGTAGTCTGTCGCCAATGGTTATTATTAGCCCCAGACAGAATAATAATCTAGATTGCTTAAATAGGTATGATATTATAGAAGAACTCAAGTTTAAGAGGCAACGATGGGACCACGGAACTTACCAATGGCGGTGGTGCTGGTCCATTTTTTATTCTGTGTATACGGACTAGGGCAGGCCCTGCGTTTACGGACGAATTCTGTCTGCTGCTTAAAGTGTTTGTCAATTGACCGCTGGTGTCGTCATCGAACAGAAAAATAAACAGAAATCTTACTTGAAGTAAGGCTAAAAATAGAACCATGCTGTTCGGTAGTGGTGGAAAACGTAGCGGCCGTAAAGACGTATTTATTGTTGAATTCACATAAATTGTTAAACTTGGGATACGGGCATTTTAAATGCGATACGGATCCACTATGTCAAGCACACGCGGTATAGCCTGCCGAAGCTAGATCGATAGAGTTTTATGAAACACACAGAGAAGTGGTCAAATTCAGCGTTCTTAAATGAGTTATTTTCGTTTTGTAAAAACATCCCAATGGAGAGAATATATATTTTTCTAAAGCAAAATTTTAATACAAGATTTTGCAGCACTGAACAATGGTATAATATATATATATATATATATATATATATATATATATATATATATATATATATATTATACATTATTGGCTTCATTACAATGATATGAGTTTAAGAAGGTTCGTCACCTCTGTGCTTGACGCTTCTCAAATTAATAACTATTTACAGCATCCAATACTATAATATAATTGTGGATTACGCGCCGTAGATAGTCAAGATAAGTAGTATCTCCGTAATCATCACCATAAATTATCACTTTTTCCTTTTAATATGTTTTGTAGGTGTTCGTAGTGTTTTTGTGTGCTCTCAGTGCTGGTCGTACGGGCTTCGTCGTGCCGAAAGTGCACGAAGAAGGTGCCTCCGTGCTATACCGCACCGAAGACGTAAGTATACGTCACAGCTTCATAGAAACTGATACATAGAAATTAACATAGGTTACATATATATATATATATATATACATATATATGTCAAGAAAAAAAGCCCTCATTTTTCGAGAAAAGAATATTTTAGTGCTAATCACGTGAGTCCGTTTCAGCATGCTCAGTGAGGTTTTTAGTGAGGTAGGTCTTTCTACATCTCTCGTTCATTTATTTATTGTCTATGAACCATTGACCTTATACTTTCTAACTGACATTGCAGGGTCTCGGCAATTACCAGTTCGGATACGATGAGAAACACAGAACTGGCGGATCGTTCCGTAAAGAGAAAGGAGATGGATACGGTCGTAAAGTTGGATCGTACGGCCTTCACGACGCTGATGGCCGAGTGCGTGTCGTCAACTACGTTGCTGATGAGCACGGATTCCGTGCTTCCGTTGAGACCAATGAGCCCGGAGTTGCTCCCGAAGACCCGGCTGCGACCGCCATTAACAAGGCTCCGGTAGCTATTCCCTACCCAGCGCCCATGCATCTCGATCATCTAACGGGTGTCAACGCAGCTTTAGCGCACCCCGTTGCTGCTCCGGTAGTTGGTACCTATTCGGCCCCGATTCACAGCGCACCTGTTGTTGCGCCGGCAGGATTCTACAGACAGCCTATGCACTTCGCGTCGGTTCTCGGCCCATCAGTATCACACATGATCGGTCAGATGCCTGCCTACATTGGACATTATCTCGCGTCCCAGGCAGTTCATCCTCTGCACAAGGCTGTCGCGTATGATGCGCCGATTGCTGCAGCGCCCGCTGTGGGGGTGGTCACCCCAGCAGTGTATGCCGCACCTGCTGCATATGTCGCCCCCACAGCTATAGCCTCAGAAACGTATGCTGCTCCTGCTGTTCCTGCTGCCCCTGTCGTCTACAAAGCTCCCATACACTTCTCCGATGTAGTCGGCCCATCGGTTAACCACATGCACCAGAATGTGCACCAGCACCTTGCTGCACAGAAGTTCTACAAATCACTTCATAGTCCTGCCATTATCTACGAGACTGCACCTGTTGTGACTCGCCTTGGCGTCGCTCCGGCAGCGTCAGCGGCCGCAGTTGCCGCGCCGGTTGTTCAAAAAAGTCTCGCCTACGCGGCCGCCCCTGTCGCCGCAGCTCCTGTACCCGTAGCTGCCGCAGCTCCTGTAGCCGTAGCCGCCGCAGCTCCTATAGCCGTAGCCGCCGCCCCCATACCTGTAGCCGCCCCCGTACCCGTAGACACCGCCGCCGCTCCTGAGCCCGTAGCCGCCGCCGCTCCTGAACCCGTAGCAGCCGTTTCTGTACCCGTAGCCGCCGCCCCTGAACCCGTAGCAGCCGTTTCTGTACCGGTAGCCGCCGCCCCTGTACCCGTAGCCCGCCCCTGTACCGTAGCCGCCGCCCCTGTACCCGTAGCCGCCGCCCCTGTACCCGTAGCCGCCGCCCCTGTACCCGTAGCCGCCGCCCCTGTACCAGTAGCCGCCGCCCCTGTACCCGTAGCCGCCGCCCCTGTACCCGTAGCCGCCGGCCCTGTACCCGTAGCCGCCACTGCCGTCAAGCAAAAAGTCTACGCCCCATATGCTGCAGCTCAACTCCCTGCTTCGGTTTCTGCCCCCGTTGTCAAGCAGGCTTATGCGTCCCCTGTAGCTGGTTCCGCCGCTTATGCTGCCCCAGTATCTGCTGCCCCTGTTGTTAAGACTCACGGATTTGCTTCATACGCTGCTGCTCCACTGCCAGTTCCAATCGCTGTGCCCGTGGGTAATGTTGACCCTGTTCTCGAGAAGGGCTATGTTTCGTATGCTGACGCTCCAGTTTCCGTTGCTGCGCCTATTGCTGAAAAGGCGTACGGCGCCGCCTACGCCGCCCCTTATGCTGCTAAGCCTATTGTTGAAAAGACGTACGCCGGCTCTGTAGTCGCTCCTGCTGGTTACGCTGCCCCTGTATCGGTAGCTCCAGTAGCTCCGGTCATCGAGAAAAGCTTTGCGTATTCGCGTCCGACTCCGATTCTTTCGAAACCGTACGGCACCGCCATTGCTTCCGCGCCTATTGCTGCTGGCCCCATCATTCAGCAGCAATATTCTTATAAAACTGCTACCCCTCTTGCTGCTGCTGGACCTATCGCCTCAAAGAGCTATGCTGCCTACGCAGCTCCAGTGGATGCTCCTTCTGTCATTGTTGTTGAAAAGGCCCATGCCTCGTACGCCACAGCCTCCACAGCTACCACGCCAATAGGTACTCCCGTGACTAAGGTATGTTTTATTTGTGAACTTTGACTAAGGAATATTTTGCCATTAGATAACACATGCACTGTACGAGGACCGCTTAGTATGACAACGTGGAACTTGTTCTACGATAATTACTAAAATAATTAATAAGATACGATAAAACAAAAGAACTAATCCTTTTTGCTTCATTGATTGGTCATTTTCGTAAATGTTTGTTAATGTAAACGTAGCCGGTGGCCGTTCCTAGATCCACTCCTCATTTCGAAGTCAAGTGTTAATGTTTAAGAGTCTATTCTACTTATTTTCTACAATCCTTCGTAGCCCCAGCTTTTTTGCTCCTCACAATTTGTCACACGATTGTCGGTCAATGTTAAATCGGACGCATTTGAAGAGGGATATTTTTGTATACTCTAGATATCTTTCATGACCTGTCTAAACCTGATCTCTGATCAGCAAGCAAGCCTCTGCACGCATAATGGATACTTACCTCTTATATACCTAGACCCTATTACTGTGTCTATGGTATTCAATGTACTCCCTTCATGACCAAGAATTTTGAATTATTGCTTGATAAGTAACAACTAGATCCCTATTTATTTTAATACCTCGAACAAGCGCACCAACACATTCACCTTTACAATATTTTTGCTTATTTTTCCGATAAATTCGACGTATTAATAGGCCGTCGTCGGACCCACAATAGCCTATGGCCCCGCTCACGCCGGCGCAGAGTACGGATATACTCCTGCGGCTACTTACAGCGCCGCGCCCGTTGGCAAACTTACTGTGGCCTATAATGGTCCTCCTAGCAGATTCGCCGTTGCTCAAGCCTATACGACGCCTGTGTACGCGCCTGCTCCTGTTGCCACTAAGCTCACTGCTTCTCCGTCCTATAGCTATGGACCTCTTACCGTTGAAGCCACGATTGCAAAGCCGGTGGTCTATGCCACTTCTGGAGTCTCCGTTGATCCAGTTGTCGACAAACATTTAGCTGCTGGGGTTCCCACTACAATTGCGACAGCTCCAATAGCTACTGCTGTCCATCAACCATCCATCGCGGCGCCGGCCATTGCGGCACCCATAAGCAAGGTTGGCCTTGAACATGGTGCTGTGGAGAACGGAATCTTCAAGACGGCAGCCGGCGTCAACGGGTACAGTCATGAACTGGTGAAACCCCACGCGTATACCAAGGTTTACCAGTGGATGTATGGCCACTCGCCGTCATTCTACGGATATGCGTACTCGTCTGTTCCCATTGGCTACAGGAAAAAATGAGTTCGGGAAGTGTTTATAGCAGAGGGGATTTTGGGAGATGGAACACAATGAGGTTACTGAAGAAGACCTAATCTAAAAACGTTGAAGTAAGTAGGAAGATAATTGTTATTAAGATATGAGATAAGAATTATTGTAGATTGCATATGTATAAATTGATAATCAAGCGTCAAGTGTCAGAAGAACCGAAAAGGAGAGGGTTTCACTACAGGGGATTATGAACTAAAATCTAAATCAAATAATAGTGAATCGTCCTCTGTAATCAATAGTAAGTAAGTGATAAGCAAATACAAAGTTATTAAGAAGACACATGAATGACAAATAAAAATGATACCAGAAAACGGCAAACAAGTCTAACTTCGACATCGATAGTATTACCGACAATAGTATCGCTGACTTATCAGGCCTCTATGCGACCATTGCATTGGTATTTCTCCTGTCGTCTATTGTGAACTATGGGATTTATTACATTTGATTTGTCGTTCGAAGGTTTCCGATCTGGAGAGCGTTTGACGGTCGTCAGATCGTATTTGTATATCGATCACTTTCGTGGTACCTGAAGGACGTCGATTCGAACGGCCTTTATACGATGAAAGGAGTGGTGTATGAAATTATTGATTCTGTTATACATACCATTGCAACTGGGTTGAAATATACTAGGCGTAATATTTTGGGTTGTTAAGTATAAAGCACGAATTATACCGTAAACGCATAATCCTAAAGCTGGCTGAGTAACTTAGCTACGATCATCATGTAGATGCTTAAAAAGTTTGTATTTCTAGGCATTTGTAACATAAACTTATCTTAATAAAGCGGATGTACTATCTGTACAGCATCCAAAAGTCTTACAAAGGTTAATTTGTTACAGACTGGTAACAACTGTCGGTTTGAATATAGCCCACATATATTTAAACAAATGCATTTTATGCTAATACGATTGTACATCTTACAGAATCTCCTGTTACGACCTTTTATATTATCATTATCTACTATTAAAACTCGTATTACAGACAAATTTCTGCTATTCTTTTAAAGATTAGCTATTGACGGAACGAAAAGTCAAATCGTAACTTGGGTCGTTCATGAATATTATGAGTTTACATAAGTGCAAAAAAACCCAGAAACCTCCCCTTTGGTTGTTCATTCACTAAATGGTCATTTCATCACTTAGAAACATTAATTAGAACTATTACGGAGTTTGGGCATTTTTCAATAATGAAGATACTCGAATTATACCAATTCAGTTACCTATCCTTACTATAACGCGTGGAACACAAGCTAACATTTTTAAAGTACTCGCCCAGATCTGTTTTTATTTTCATATGTCCTTTTCTGCAATTTTCTTTTTTTCCTATACATATAT